GCAGTCATCTTATCACTAAAAAATACATAAAGTAACAAATACCTCTGGATGCCCTTCAGGTAACATTTATTTCAGAACATTTGGGATGACTGAGAAGCAGTAGGCTTAATTTTACTTATAAAACTCACCCAAACGGTCATCTTTTAGGAGAATTTCTAATGATTTCTTTTCTTCAACTCCACGAAAACCCACTTTCTCATAATATACTGAACGAAAGTTTCTCTGAGAATCCTCAGTCATGTTTCATTCTTGGAGAAGAGGGGAGGAAGTGAGTTTAGAAACAAAGAAGGAAGAATTAAAATTTTTCAATGATTTTCTCCAACTTTTCAGTGAATCTGATATAATAAACTGTCTGCCCTTGCATGGGACTCAATATTAAATCTTTCCTTTCACACAACTCTAACACCACGTTACCTCTGCACCTTGGCCAAAAACCAAGACATAAAACCAGCATCCTCTGAGTTGCTAAAATAGATGGCACAAGGTTCAAGCCCTAGGGATCCTATTTTACTTATGAGAGCACCTAGCCATACCACATGTTCAAAGAAAAAAATGAAATAGGAAGACAAGATGTCATACAAAAGGTGTTACCAAACAGTATACACTATGATTCTGTTCTTGTTTTATAAAACTATGCATTTAAAAATTAGACTGTATTCTGAAATGTTAGCAATGGTTATCTTTAAGTAGTGGAATTCCAGATGATGTTAAATTTGCTTTTGCTTAGCTGTGTTTTCTAAAATGGGCATTTTGTAAAATGGAAAAACTAAGTTATAAAAAGTAAAAAGCTACAAGTCCCTCACTTAGTTTTCCTTTAAACACAATTCTACCAAAGGTAATTATCAAAATTCAAAACCCATAAAGCTTAACAGCATTAAATCATAAACCTGAAGAGGGGCAGGAATGTAGCTGGGTGATAAATTATGGCATAAAGTTGGAGACAGAATAACAATTTATAATCTGTCTTCAGAACTCAAAAAGTTTAATAGTCTTAGGTTCTTTCACAATAACCTTCATAGGTTGATGGCAAATCATCAGGAAAAGGTCAAATTAGGTTGCTGTTTTAAGAATATAGTGGATGTAATGCATTTTCCATAAAAGTATTGTGCTGCCCAACCCAAATGCTTGAAGTGTGAGTGCAAAAAAGAACATAATCCTCAGGTTTCAGAAATTCTGGCACAGGAGAGTTGAGTTCCACACAGCCAAGGTCTTCCTTATAAAAAAGATATGCTGAGTCAATGCAATCACAGGAAAGATTAGGATTCGCTTAAAATGAGAAAGAGGGTTCTGAGCTTTGGGGACCAAATGTTCTTTTAAGGACAAAATTCCAAAGCATTAAAACCCTCATTGAATTTGGGGGTTTATTTAAAAGAAGCATCCAAACAGCTACACGGCGATACGTGTCTGCTGTCCACAGAAACCAGCCTCAGACTGCACCACGGCAAAGGCGTCTTGCGTCCTCTTGGAGGAAATACTGCAAATTGCATTCCGCCCTCGGCCGTGCAGCCGACGGCCCAGGAGGCACCTGCCTAAGACCCCGCCCCATCTCCAAGGCGCTTCACCTCCTGCGATGGAAACTCGGGTGCAGACCAGGTGGTCCGGGGGAGGCCGCGGAAGCCAGGCCAGGGGCGCTGAC